TGCACACACAGCCCCTGCCTGCACACCTTCGGGAACCCAAGGCCACCCCAGAACCCTCGATCCTGACTCAGCTGGCTGGTGCAACATGAAGCCCAAGTCAGCAGATCCTGAACAAGGTTAGCACCGCACTGAGAGACAGGTGGCTCGCCAGCACTGTTGGTGCCACCTGTGTACCTCACTTTGTCTCACCTGCATTGTTGAGTCTTCACTGTATAGTTAAGCTTGCTGATTCTTGTTAGGAAGGAGTCTTCCCAATCACTTGGACAGCCAGAAACCCACTGGGTTGTACAACAGATTCCTTAGGAGATTCTCATTTGAACAGTATTCTCAGGCCTTACATGACCTAGCTAAGAGTGTGTCTGGTGACCTCTGTACCTCATGGTTAGTTTGGCCCAATAAAAAGCTCTTGTTACTGCACTATCTTTTAGCACAACACAGATAAATCTGTTAACAGCTGCCATTTCCCCCCCTCTTACAAAGTGCTTAGCCATTTTATGTCAATGCTTAAAGGATTTTTAACTATAAAGTGCAATGCTTTATTGGAAAACGTCTGAGCATTGGCTATTCTGGGTTAGTCTTCCCAGAAGGTAATTCCAATAACACTTTCATTTCAGGAAAGTTGTCCTGAATTCTAATTTTTAACAGGCCATGGTGGCACACATCTGTAATCCAGCACTCAGGAGACAGAGGAAGGAAGACTGAGAGTTTGAGACCAGCCTAGGCAACAAAGTGAGCTCAAGGCCAGCCTAAACTGCCTAGTGACACTCGGTCTCAAAAAGACAAAATAAATAAATAAATCTAGTTTTTGTATTTGTATTTCACATTGCTTTGGCTTTTTTCTTTGGGGCACATAACCATGACTATGTTGGATCATCTACACTTACTGTCAATAAACATTATTTCCTCTTAAAACCTATCTAATATTTGTCTCTTTTTCAACTTTAAAAACTTGTCTATTGGACAGAGCCCAGGCCAGGCCTGTGAATGAAACCCCTGGGACCTGCCATTATCCTCACTGGATACAGGGCCCAGGCCTGGTGTGAGAGTGAGACCGCCCAAGGCCTGCCGTGGAACCCTACAGCGGAACTCCCTGCAAAGAGGCTAGAGGCAAGACCCACCCAGCTGATCCAGGAGCAGAACATCTTGCCAGAGTAGCACACAGGGTTCACCTCCAAGGGCTGCAGCAGGAAGAAGTGGAGCACAGCAGCCAGACCCAAGCCACACCCACCTGGAGGAGTCTGAAACTTTGTTAGACCCGGACCCGGTGCTAAGGTAAGCTCTACACCAAAGGTCAGAAGACAGTGATAAACAAAAAGACAAAGAGAAGGAGCAAAATGCATTCTCAGGCCCCGAGCCCACCCAGAACAAATACAGGAGGCACTAGCATAGAAGAAATTGGAAATCACACACCTGAAATCTCTGAAATAACAGCGTCAGAAGTAAAGAAACAAATGCAGAAAGGAATAGAGGAAATCAGATCAGAAATAATTTCTCAAGTAAAAAAAGAAATGATACCATAATGAAAGAGGTACTAAGTGCTTCTCAAGAAAACAGTGATAAAAAAAATAGAGAAGAGTAGAAAAATGATGGGA